GTGTGTGTGTGTGTGTGTGTGTGTGTGTGTGTGTGTGTGTGTGTGTGGGGTAGAGATGCGATACCTTCATCACCATCATCTATGACTTCATTGTCTGTCAGCGAGTTATAGCCGTCATCTGCTGCCTGTGCGTAGAAAACAAAATCACGTTAGAGTCGAGAAGCGGTGAAGGAATCAACCTGCATCCTCTAGCAGTTGGGATCTGGCTGGAGAAGAACCACCTCAACATTTAAAACATATATTGCCAGTTAACCACAACAATGAAGTTTGAAAACAATGTATCAACAAAGTGTTAATTTTGTCTGGTTGTTATCAACAGCACCAAGATTAAGAGAAGACGTGAAAACGCATTCTATTAATACGAGATTAAAAATACTACAAAGCTTCTCCACAAAAGATAATCAGAACTTTGACAAGCATTGGCACAGTCTGTTATTTACAAGTGAAGCATCATTCATTAAAATGGAAAACGGATTCCAAGACGCATTTCTGTACCTGATCTTCCTGTTGAGAAGCAGTTGCTTTTGAACTCCGTGGCTTTGTAACTCCGTCCCAGAAGTCAGAATCTTCTGTCTCCTCTGACCCGGCGTCCTCAGATACATCAGCAGTATCTGTTTCAAAATAAAGGCACACACAAGTCTAGTGTGATGGACATAAAAACCCAGTGGATATTTATATTTAGTAGATTGACAAATTTCCACAATATTTTAAAAGGTAATTTGTAAAATAAATTGCACCTTTTGTATCGGAGAGGTTCAGGTCATCACTTGGTGCAGATGATGTATCTTCTGCTGTTACTTCCACTGCACCATCTGCCCCTTTATTACCAGACAACATCTCATCAAGACTCCTCAGCTCCTCTGAGATCTGCTCTACTTTACGCTTTGTGTCCGCTGGGAACAGACCAAGGAGGAGGAGGAGTAGGAGGAGGGAGGGAAAGAAACAACAATCATATGACACATTTGTTATTGCTTTAAAATTAATATTGAAGATTTCATGTATCAATCACCTATTCAACAACAAATGTCAAATAAGTTGTACATTGTACGTGCAAGAGCCATTTTGTTGTTTTTGTTTAACCTCCCACCACATGGGGGCGTAGTGCCGGTGTGAATCAGGCCACAGGTAATATAATCAGTGGGGTCATTGGACACAGGTTGTTGCTAATAGGTAGAAGCAAACAGTTTTTGACCGTGCACATTTAACGAATGCAAATGTTATGATTTATTGGTTTATGGAGAAAATGGATAACTGAAGAGAAAGTGGTGAACTCCGATTATGTGAGAAATAATATGCCTATATTGGAAACTGGACTTCGTTATTTATGACACGCGTCAGAACAAACATTTCAGCAACCGTAGTGACTTTTTTATTGGGAAGCAACGGTCACTACAGTACGGCTTTATCTTCCTATCCAATATCACCATCACTCTTTCAAATACTCCTTTCCCACATTATGTCGTCCCCCAGTCTCCTGCTTCACCAGGACACAACATTCAGGTATGTAATATACAGGACCCTCCCCAAATGTTGTGACACAGTGTGTACTTACAGACTTGAGCCTTGACGTAATCCATGTACTGTTGGGCACTGAGTGCTGGCTGGCACACAATACTCTGTGGCTTGGCAGTGGATGGCGGCTGCAGGAACGGATGCAGGCAGGTACGACTGGTGTGAACTGTCAGCACATAGCGGCACGACTGAGGCTCATCCACTCGGGCAATGTAGTCACCTGAGCCTTCTTCACACACAAACTGGAAACAATAGAGTCAAATTAGAAAAGCAGTTTCTGAAGGAATTGCGGTGCCGATGCTGAAGAGCTGATGCTACCCTGTACTGCTGGCTAAATGTGTAAGAAGAAGGTGAAGTAGTATGGTTCAGGATCCTCTCACTTTCAGGCTCCTACGGCAAAATGTGGAAGTCGGTTTGCTTCCACAGCTACATTATTGGAAAGAACACAGATTTAACTACATTTTAACGTGAAATTAAGTGTGAAGAGTGAAAATTGTGGGAATGGGAGCTTGTTGAAGATTATCAAGAAGACATTTCTGCTGCCGTTATGTCAGCAATCAAAGGTGATGGTATTTGAGAAGTGACTCCTCGGTTACTTTAGGCAGAGGTGCACATCCCATAGCCCTGCTTCCCAGGCAAAAAACGTAACTCCTAAAGCTTAAATATTTTACGCAAAGATTTAGGACCCCCTGATGAACACATTGTGTGAAATGTTTGTGGGTAGTTTTAAAAAATGGGAGCAGGTTAGAAAACTGGTCCAGCTTGCTGATTTTGGAGTCAGTTAACATGAGAGCCGATGCAACAGTTGGTTGGAAATCCTCTCACTTTCAGGCTCCTGAAATGATTAATGAAGAGTGATAATTATGGGCAAGAGAGCAGGCTAATCATCATTTTTTGAGAAGATTTCACCCCGTAGACCTTAGACCTGTAAACCCTGTATTCAAATGTCTCACCCGGACTTCCGTCTCTCTGTGATTTCCATTTAGGTCACACTTTGATCCATTTACATAGGTCTGACTGTGGTAGCGCTTCAGCCGGTGCTGTTTGGAGGCCTGGGAAGTAAACAGAAGAATATTTATTTTACCAAACTGATTTGCACTATTCTTGGAGACTCAGTGCATCATCCAAACGTTAAATGTGAGGCCTCTGATGTTTGTGCACTTCTAATGATTCACAGATAGTCCTCATTACTGGAAGCTGGTAAATCAGGACGATAATTATAATGTGAATATGTAAGATGAACACCTGAGGCATTCAACCGTAAAGTACCCATTGCCACACACAAGTACAAGCGTTCCGTTTATATCAAATAATTTTGAACTTTCTTTAATGTATACCCAGTAATCAAAGATCACCAAGAATGATAGAAAAGACAACTGCAACCACAACACGGAGGCAACTTTACCTTGGCTGTGTCATTGCTCCAATCAAATTCAGATTCATAATATCCGAGGAAGAGAATGTCCCCTTTGATTTCTGTGTCTAAGGAGAGAAGAACAACGGACGTCATCAAGCGATCGTCATGGAAAACACCGATTAAAAACACGGGGGTAAGCCCTTACCTTCAAGGTGGTACTGTCTGATGTGCTGACCGTGGCAAAACTCGTATGTCCACCAGTCCTTCGTCTGCCGAAAACACAGACAACAACATTTGAATAAACGGTATTTGACTGACAGATTGTCCTGTCATCCAGGCTACTTGCTCATCAACAATATCATTGATGATCCCGTTAGAACTCCACACACTCGAACAACTTGTGTACATATTGTTGTGTTTTTGAACTGGTTAAGAACAATAGGACACCTTCCAAAATACTTTTTAACTCGTATTGTTTGCTAAATCCACTTCGGTTGATGGTCGTTGATTGAAAATTGTCAAGATGCAGGAAGAGAATTAGGTTCGTATGCGTGTGTCAAAAGGGAAACATTAATTTTAACATAAAAAACAAGAACTCATGAAAAAGGCTCAAAACCTGCTTGCAAAGTCAATTAAAATAACAAAAAATGCAGCCGAGTGTGAAGCGGCGGGGATGAGAGTTAGCACCTCCAAATCTGAGGCCATGGTTCTCTGCCGGAAACCGGTGGATTGCTCCCTCCAGGTGGGGACGGAGTGCCTACCTCAAGCGAAGGAGTTCAAGTATCTCGGGGTCTTGTTCACGAGTGAGGGTAAGATGGAGCGGGAGATCGACAGACGGATCGGTGCGGCTGCAGCAGTAAAGCAGGCGCTGCACCGGACCGTCTTGGTGAAGAGGGAGCTGAGCCGGAAGGCAAACCTCTCAATTTACCACTCGGTCTACGTTCCTACCCTCACCTATGGTCACGAACTCTGGGTCGTGACCGAAAGGACAAGGTCGCGGCTACAAGCGGCCGAAATGAGTTTCCTCCGTAGGGTGGCCGGGCTCAGCCTTAGAGATAGGGTAAGGAGCTCGGTCATCAGGAGGGAGCTTGGAGTAGAGCCGCTACTCCTTTGCGTCGAAAGGAGTCAGCTGAGGTGGTTCGGGCATCTAATTAGGATGCCTCCTGGACGCCTCCCACTGGAGGTTTTCCAGGCACGTCCAACTGGGAAGAGACCCCGGGGAAGACCCAGAACACGCTGGAGAGATTACATCTCCCAGCTGGCCTGGGAACGCCTCGGGATCCCCCAGAATGAGCTGGAACATGTTGCCGGTGAGAGGGAGGTCTGGGTCGGCCTGCTTGACCTGCTGCCACCGCGACCCGACCCCGGATAAGCGGTGGAAAATGGATGGATGGATGGATGGAAAAATGAAAATACAATCAGCTGTTGAAGCAAGCAATCCCTCTGTCCTCTCAATGCCACACACACACACACACTTAAGTTAAGCTCCTGTTAAAACAACACTACAGGGTTTCCCTCAGGACATTATTCAGCAGTTAATCCTGATGTATCCAGTCTCATGATCACTTTAGTTAGAAGAACAATTGCCACACTTGTTAAATAAATGTGCCTTCTGCTGTGAAAACAGCACCGCTGCTACTTTTCCATGACAGTTAATGTTGCATTTCACAAAAGTGTATTTATTTGTTATGATGGTGGTGGAGGAGGTCTTTGTTTCAGGCGGGTTGGTCCACCTCTGCTATAAAATACAGAGGAAAACCCGCATCACAACTGACAGCATCTCTCTTTGATGAGCTTCTCTTGATTGTAAACATAGTCCCCCACACAGCCATGTATTTACAGGACCAAACTATAATGTCACCTTGCAGTTGTATTCTTTCGCCAACCAGTCAAGTTACAGTTTACATCCATGGCTGTCCAGGGCCTTATAGTACATGTGTATGTAGCGACGACTCTGAAGGAAAGTAATAAAAGCTATTTGGTGGATTTTTTTGGTGAAAGGGAGGTTATCACTATGTTGATGTATGATTGCAGTGAATCATTTCCCGTGAGAAATATGCCATCTTCACTATTTCTACAGAGGAGCACAGAAGATTGATAGAGAGCTTTGTCACATGGTGCAACAATAATCTAAGCCATTTTGGATAATCCTTCTCACACTCTCTACAATGAGCTGTGGCAGATTAGCAGCGAAACAAACAGAGTCACTTTTGTGTGTTCACGTGTTCGGCCAATGAAGCCGATTCTAATAGAACACAAAGTTGTAGACATTGCCTCATATATGGATGTTGCTGCAAAGATGCTACAAATTATAAAACATAAATGCTACACACACACACTTGATCTGGCAGCACAAAAGATCTTTACAATCACCAGTTTCTAGTTAGGCACCCAAGATTAGTGTCACACATTCAGTATCTGACAAAATGTGTAATATGGTTACAATCTCACCTTCTGTTCCTGAGTTATTATGGTGTCATATAGTGGCACAAAAAGTGTTTTTGCAGAACATTATGTCATAATTTATATTGCGTTCACCAGAATGGGACATAACTCATACTAAGGACGGACAGACAGATAACCCCGAAACATACAAACATAAAAGAATGCATGGATTCCTTTAGTATGCCTCACAACCACAGCCTCCCGGTGCGGAAACAAAGGTGCCAGGTCACATTGAAACAGGATCTCTGTTGTAAGAAGCTTAAATGAACTCTAAGATGAACAAGTGAAAACATAAAGCAGCAATACAGAGACGTGCGTCTCCTTCATCATTTTCATGCTGACAGGACATTCAGATTCAGTTTGTTGGTACTGTACTTTCATGTGTAGCTGAAAATGTATCATTTATATCGTATATTTTGAATATATCATCAGTGTGTGATAGGTATTGTAAGTAACCACTTCCTGTTTTGACATCTTCTCAAGGAATGCCATACACTTGAATAATACGGCTGTGCTAGCTCTCATGGCATGTGCTTTATCTGTCTCTCTGTATTTTGTGTGTTTTTTTACGCACACTGCAAAGTTGACAGAAGTTGTAAATGGGCATATACAGTTTATCTGATGTTGTCAGCCCATTTGCAACTATGACCCCTCTCACTCTGCCCACCCCCTCTTCCAGCTGATGCCCTCTAGGGGCGCTGTACGACCCTGCCTGACAAATTATTCTGTTTTAAAAACAGTTCTTCCCCACCGCAATAAGAACTCTGAACACGTCTAATTAACCCAGACAGATAAACTGCGCTTCATAACTTTGTATTATTTTGTACTGTGAATTGTTGTCTTGTGGTTGTATGTGGATAATGTCTGTTGTGTGTCATGTGTCTAATCTGATATTGATGTCTGTGTTTAGATGTTCTGTCACTGCTGTAATGGGCTTATCCACCATGCTTTACCGAAATCAAAGTCTACCGACCTCAGCCATGTGGTCGTTAATAAGTGAGTGATTGATTGATTGACATAGCCTGTTTTGAAGGTTAAAATAATGCCCCAGTACCCTTTTGTGTAATTTTCAGTGTGCAGACTCAATAAAAAGAAATTTGCCCTTTTATTTTTGCACCTGTACCCAGCAGAGGACGGATGTGCTCAATATCCCCAAACGTTACACTGCAAAGTTAACTAACACAGACAAACTAGCTTTCAATCTACAGTCACATACAACATTCACATCATCAACTATGGCTCAAGTGATCCGATTAAACTGCTTTTTGGTGTTATTTTGTATAGTCACACAAAAGCCATTTGCTTAAATAAGTCAGAATATAATAATTCGTTTTTAAACAGCATAAGCATCTATTTAGATCCCATAGATACAGTTGAGAACTAACCTTTACTAGACACTGGGCAGTGTGCATTGGACTGAGTAGGTCCGGGATGTCAGGCCCAGAGTACCCGTGTGAGTCCGGCTCAGAGGCAGGGTCCTGATGAAAGCGGACGGCCTGGGCTGGAAGTCGACACTCGTACATCTGCTTGTACTTGCTGGACACGATCATCACCTCGTCTGTCTTGGTCTGAAGGAGAAACACTGTTACGCCAGCTGCAGTATCTTCAATACCATTGATTAGCAAAGTAACGTTACTTGAAGGTATTACATAACGTCAGCTGGTTTTGCGACTGTCTTCGTAGTTAGTCAATTTTAAAATCTAATGAAGTTGCAACTAAGTGGAAGTGAGGAAGCTGTGTTGTGACAGCTGTCAACGATGGTTGCTGCGTAGGTCCCATGTAAACAACGTCAGCATTAACTATTCCTCGTCCAACTCGCAAGAAAATTGTACATTTTAAAGTAGGACTCTCAACCAGATAACAAAGAGGTTATTCGTTACTCGCGTTAGTAACGTTAAAGGCAGATATGTGACGCTAGCTAACGGCAGCGTTAGCCTATAACGTTACTTTCTAGCTAGCAAGCTAACTGTTAGCTTCCGCAAAAACCACCCTCACTCACCTGGCCCAACATGACGGGGTCTGGAAGAATTTCAATCCCATATTTCATCTCATTCAGCTCTTCGAAATTCAAGAAGGCTGGGACACAGAGAGGACATGTCAACATGAAAACGTACAGTCTTTTTAGCCACCGAACCACGGAAGCAGCCATGGTGGACTCTCTCCTCATGACAGCAACAAAACACAGGACGCCTGACATGGTAGCTGCTGATTGGTCGATGCGAGAAGCGCGGGTCTGTCATTGGCTGATTTTTGTGCCTGCCAATGGTTCTGGGGTGAATTAGTTTACAACACCGGCACAATGTGAATGGGCGGTGCCTCTATCTTTGTAGCATTAAAAAACACATTAACAACGCACATGTAGGCTGTTTGTCCTTCCATATCATAAACTCACATTGGTACAAGCATGGGCACCAATTGGGCTCAAGCCATTTACCTTACAGTCTATGGCTCAAGCTAATTTGGCCAAATTACAATCATACGGAACACCACACTAGTGTTTTCTAAGATGTATAAAGTCCAATATTTTACAAATATATCTATTATTTTTTTTCATGACACATTGGTAGCCTGAAATGTGAACTCCTGCTGTGTGGTATAGCTACCCAGGTGAAAAATAAATATGCTAAGTATATTTAATTTTAGCATACTTGAGTATACTTGAAGCCCTACTAATCATAAGTATACTTAAAGAGTGCTATTTTGGAACAACTTATTTTGTACTTAATATATTTTAGTTGTGATTAAATAGTAGTTATGCACAATTTGAAGTGTATTTAGTATATTTTTGTGTGCTAAATTGGAACAACTTAATGTATACTTAGTACAATTTAAGTATATGACTGTGTATGTACTAACAGACATGCTGATAGCTAACTTAAATTATACTTTTTGTGTGTTTTAAGTATATTTGAAATATATTATGAGTGTATTGCAAATACATTATTAATATATTGATATTGTGGTAATAGTATACCAAAATTATACTTTTGGCTTATTCCGATTACTAAGAAAGCACACTTTCTTATTACTATGCTATATTACTTTGTACACTACATACTATTATACATTACAATATTACAAATGTATTACCAGTATCCTAAATGCTGAATGAACTTCCCAGATAGAAATCAAAAACACTTTATTGAATTTCAAATATATCTTATTAAAATATATATATAATATATTTATAACAACAATTTAAAACACACTTTGAAACAATTGCAATATAGTGCATTTTTTTAGAAATAAAATAAAATATATTGAACAGAGAGCTAAACAATTTTAAGTTGACATGGTACTAACAAAACAGAATGTTTCAGAATGTGTATACACAGCTAATTGATTACTGAATTTGCATGATATAGCCAGTATGGAGACAGACCGTTAAAATAAAAAAGTCCCTTTAAAAATGCTCTCCCATGTTCCCACACATAAAACCAGACACAGGCACACACCCACCCATCTACACACACACACACACACACACACACACAAACGCATTATTGGGGAGTAATGAGCAGGTCTCGTTGTTGGAACATATTTGCTAAATAGCATGCATGAATTTTCAGGAACCGTGCTCCAGTTCATGTATTTAGTGTGTTATATGTTATATGCTCCATGATGCCGCTGCTCCGCTGATTGACCGCTGAGTGTTGTGTTGAGGTGCGGTTTGCTCTCCGCTGCTGCAAGGGGAGCGTCCGTCCACAGCCTGCAATGCTGTAATGTGCAGTCGCCTGTTTTTCTCCTTGCCGCTCCATTTTTCCACATCTAATCCCATTTACAAGACCACAGAGAAACACATTTATTAAGAGGGACAGCCTCCGTGCAGGCGGGAGGTGAAACAGCCTACATACTGCGTCTTCGAACTGAGGTGAGCTCCCCTTTCTTCTGATTTGCATGGAATATTAATAGGCCTATGAATCTGTTTTCTGCACGGTATTTCTGTCGGTATGTCCAGGTCTGGGTGAACGTTTGACGGTTTCTCGACCAGGCAGAACATGTAAAGAAAAGACAGGCGTGAAGAATTTTGGAGCCAGAAAATTTGTCGATAAAATGCCTGAATGCAAGAGAACCTCGTTTTGGAGATGTGATTCAGCATGTAAGGCATGCAGGCCTAATCCAATCAAGCTTTGAGTGCATGGTTTTTCTCCCTGCTGTCTTATCGCTACAAGGGAGGCTAATATATAGGCCTCTCTGAGAGATCGTAGACTATTTTATCTGCAGCTATTTGTGCTCGCTGGACAGATGATCACATTACTGGGATATGTATCTTGTGTTTAAGGATGCAGGCAGCACGTTGTTGATGCTGAATAAGAATATTTCATATTCAGAATCTGGATGAGACATCTGTCACGCATACTTTGGGAGGGACCCACATAGCTGTCTATGAATCATGTCCACAGCTCTCCTTACTTTCTCACAGGCTCCCTTTTAGGTAATCAAAAACAGCAGCACAACTAATAGAGTTTCATTCTGATTGGCCCGTAGACATTTCCACATGACTTCAGGTCATCTCTTCTCTCTGTTGAACTACTCTATCTCGGTTACTGTTCGTCTAAGGATGGTTTCACCATCACAGCTATGGCTATAGCACAAGGTAATCCCATTAATGTAAAAAACAACAACAACAGATTGATGATGATACTCTTTTAAGAATTCCTTCCTGTGCTTCCAGTTTGTGATATTCTTCGTTTTGTATTACATTATGTTACAGCTTTAGCTGAGCAATAACTCAATATTATCGTCTGATCTTGGTGATATGATCATATCATGTCATCGTTTTACAAAAATGCGTTATTAAATAGTTTTTGACCACTATATTGTTGTCAAATTTCTGCATATTCAAAGAGTTCTGTGTTCTGTGATGCATAATTGTGGATTTGTGTGGTTTTATATTTTTCATGCTTTGAAACATGTCTACTGTGGCATACAGTTTATCTACACAACCAAAATAATTCTGAACCTAAGAGCCTGGTTGTGAAATGAATACAATCCCGTTAGTGGATTAACGTTTCAGTTGTAAGACCTAAGTTCTTGTGTACTCAATATCTATTTTCATCTGATTTGGAGACAATGTTTGAGTCTACACCTGAAACTAGTGCGTTTGTGAATGTGTTATGAAGTGTATGGAAGTGCTTTTAAAATGAACACATGGCGAACCATTTCCTCTGAGAGAAATCCCCCCCCCCCCCCCCCCCCCCAAACCCTGCAGAATTTCCCCTGGGGCTTTTAGGGCCTGATGAAGCACCATGTGGACGCGAGACAGTGTTTCTTTTTTTTTTCACACTTTATTTTTGTCTTTTCATCATAGACAGAACACATACATACAGAAAGAAAGAAAAAATGAACAAAAAAAGGATCTGGATTGCTCTGTCCCCTCAAAAGCATGGTAAATCCAGAGACATATTCAGGGGTTCTTATCTTGTGTTGTCGTTGACATGTAAACATCGTCCATCTCTCCCACTTCTCACGACATCGCTCCTCTTGAGCTCTTATTCTGTGAGTTAACAGTTCCATATCATACATTTTATTCAGTAAAAACACTGTCACTGTCCTCAGACAGCTAAGGCTGCACAAGGAACAGGCATGTAGTTGGGACAAGGACATGTACAAAGAGGCAAAATTCAGGTTTAGTAAGGCGATGAGAGACGCTAAACGACTGCACTCTGAGAAACTGCAACACCAGCTTTCAGCAAGTGACTCTGCTTCTGTCTGGAGAGGTCTCAGACAGATAACAAACCTAAAACCCCCCCACTCCAGGAACGACCAAAGTCTGGCAAGACAAGCTGAACGAGTTCTACTGTAGATTTGGAAGACAATGGGACAGTCCTGACTCCACCCCCCACGGCTCCATCAACCAGCCCCAGACCACTAGGCCCCCCTCCCCCAGCTCAGCAGGAGCTCATGCCTCTGTACCACCCATCCCAGTACATTTTAATAAGTTTCTATTTCTTGCACTGTGTTGATTGTTTAATGTTATGCACCACCCGACATGACAAATTCCTTGTATGTGCAACATACATTGGCAATAAACGGTTTCTGATTCAAATGCTTTTTCTGCATCAAGACTTATTAAGGCTGCATTGATATTTTTATGGTTAATATGTTAAAATATATGTAGGGTTCTCCTTATGTTATCTTGGGTTTGGCGCCCCTTGATAAAGCCTGTCTGGTCTTCATCTATAATATCATTCATAAAGTGCTCGTACCGAGACAGTGTTTTTATGTAATGATGCAATTACTTTGTGCAGATCTTCATATGATTTATAATTCTTTGGGAGGAAGTCTGTGATGTTGTGATGCTTTTTTACCCTATAATTTAATAATTCATGTGGCTTATGTCTTTTTGTCTCCAGATGGGGAAGGTGTTAACTCATTTCTGTGAATGTCTACATGGTTTCTGGAGATGCAGGTGCCTACAGAGGATGCCCTTTCACTGACTGGATAGAGGCAGCTGGGTAAACTTTTCTTACTTATTATTAATCACACATGCAGTGCTGGTAATGAAGAGAAGTTAAGGAATGTGCTAATTGTATAATTGTATTCAAGATTTTAATTCCACAAATCATATACAAATACAATTTTTGACCACTTATTTTAGGTGTTTGCAGTAGCTTGTAGCCTCAAACAGCAATTTCATATAGACAGTGTGCACAGAGACATTTTGGTCATGAATGGAGGAGGCATAATGCAGAATCCTTCTGAATTTCCATTGTCATCCCTTTTATGTCACAGCAAAACAAACAACTGTATTTATTGATAGGTCGTAATAAAGGCTCCCCTTATTCCTTTAACATCTTTTCATAGCTGAAAAAGCAAAAGAAAGTTGTTTTTATGACAATATTCGAGTGATGGTGGCCGTGTGATTTTGCTGGCATGTCGGACTCCTTTTGGCTCACTGAACTCAAAAATATAGAAGTCTGGTAATTGTGGAGTAACTTCAAAGGGCACAGGCCAGATGGTCGTGTTTGTGCAATTGAAAGAAAGAAAATATCTTCAGACATTTGGTTCTTTGTCAGATTAGATCATCATGCTCTAGCTTGAGCAAGACAACCAGCTTCTCTCCTGTTTGTTGGAGAGCACATTGCTGATTGTATGTTGTTGTTCTGACACCACACAAAGCAACATAGATATGTAGCAACAATCTAGAGTCCAGTTTTTATTGAATAATTGCTTCCAGATCCATTTCCTTTGCACCACTAAGTAGCTCCGCCATGAATGTAACCACATGGAATCTTAAGAATGCCCCGCAGCTCTGGAGCCAGAACTGATTTGCACTTCTGTCCATCGTGGGAGAGGGATCCCTCCTCTATTGCTCTCCCACAGGTTTCTTCCTCTTTTCTCCCCGTTAAAGGGTTTTTTTGGGGGAGTTTTTCCTGTTCCGATGTGAGGGTCCTGGGACAAGAGGATGTCAAATGTGTACATATTGTAAAGCCCTCTGAGGCAAATTTGTAATTTGTGATTTTGGGCTATACAAAAATAAATTGAATTGAATTGAATTGAAATTGATTTTTCAAGTCTGTCTTTCATACTGCTCATATTTATGACGTGGGAACAAAAGCCACAGTCTTTCTTCTTTCTGATCCACAAGACAGACAGTGTCTGTGTGCTGAGCTGCTGCAGAGGGATTGTAACACTGAAAATAATAACAATAAACTTTATTTGTATAGCACCTTTCATACAAGTAAATGCAGCACAATGAGCTTGAAACTTATCAAAAAGTAAATTGACTGTGATTTTGGAAGATATTCTCTAGTTTTGGCTAGCCTGTGCTACTTTGGCTAGCTTTAGGTGAACTTTAAAGTGGATCTCTTTACGGTAAGTGTGGACAGGGGGAATAATTACAACGAGCAGTCTTTGAACATACATATGTCTACGTCAGGTTTCAGGATGCGCTCCCTGAGGAAGACGGTGTTGCTCGCCATCCTGGTGTCTGTGGTTCTGGTACTTGCTCTCCTCCATTCGTGGCCCACTCGGGCCTACACCACCGTGGACGTGTGGCAGCGACCGGGGCCAATTGAAGAGAGGCATCTGGAGGAGAGGCTCCCAGAACCAGACCACCGATTGGGAAACATCGCCTTTCACGTGAGGGACAATGTGGCAAGGTAATTCATTTATTCCATCTATAAACTCCTCAGCACAACAGAGCTCAGCTAAAGCCTGATTTCCTCACATGCTCGTGTCTCCAATGATTCGTCCAGCTTGTTGGCACGAAACGGATGCGTTTGTGAGGGTGAGAGTGGAGGAGTAAACCTGCCCTTCGCCCAAATCTTGTTCCCGCGGGTGTCAGCTCACCCGCTGCACACCGCCTTTGAGGCCTCCGACCTGGAGGAAATGAAGAGGAGACGGGCCAAAGAGTACAATAGTTTCCAGAAGAGGTAAGCAGATAATGATGCAATGGCATCTTTATGCTGAAACAATTAATGAAGCATGAGCTGTATTTTAGCTTAAAAAAAAACTACTTGAAGCACACTTATTGAATACAATTTTAATGGAGTTTGATTTATTTTCTAGTAATTCACTTTTTTTTGCTTTTCAGTAGAGGTAACATCACACAGAACCAAGAAAACATTAATAACAATACAACTAATAAAACAACAGGAAGATAAAATAATATAAAAAATAAGCATTGCCATTACCCATATTGCTATCACTCACATAGTATAGGTTACATACATTGTATTAATGTACATATAGCTGCTATTCACACATCCAACAGCAATGACATATAACGCACACATCACTTTTTATTGCTACCATTCACATCTAAATGTGATCATCCTTCAAATATACTATTAACACTTATTTGGGTAAATATCATCTTCTTATGTTTATATAGTTATGATCATTCACAAGTCATAAATTGACGTGACCCAACACATTTCTATCACTTACATACAGTAGCAAAGCTTGTGCCACCATCACAACACCATTTATCACATTGCAATCAGACACTTATCATAATGATAAAGGCATGACCTACTCTGCAGGCCATCTCTCCATGGTGATAACATCTTACATAACATTATCAGCTTTAGCCTAGTTAGTCATTCAATATTGTATTCATGGGGGCCACATATTTTTAGAAATACCCCCTGTCTATTGTTCAATTTTTAAATTAATTGTTCATAACTGGCTATTTCAGTCATTCCTCCCAACCAATAGAGGGGATGGTATTTTTTGTTTTCCATTTCGTGAGCACATGTTGTTGCTTTATTTGACTAAATCGATGTTTAGATCACAACCTTTCTGTCTCTCTCTCTCTGACATGGAGAAAGTCATCGGTGCCCTCTTATCAACTGTCTCAAACCTTCACTATGTACAGTTTGGTACCACTCAGGATTCATTATTCCATCATTAACTGATCCAGAACAACAATAAACTATTAAGGAGATCAAAATAGAAAACTCTTATGATAAGGTTTATCTTCAAGATCTTCTTTTTCAGCCGAGAATATAATCACAAGGTTACAATGTCTTTTATCAATAGCTGCTATTGAATTACCTCTGCTGTTTGTGTTGTCAAGGAGCAAAACTCAATTTGTCCATGTAGTCTATTCCTGTCTATGCTTGTGGATTTATATAGTGTGTATGCGTCTTCCTGATGTGGATTTCCGCCCCTCAGGACACAGACGCCTGCAGATGTTCTCATCATTGCAGAGGCTAACAATCCCTTACAGTATCCAACGCAAGGGGTGGAGGTACGACCTTTGAGAACAATCATCATCCCAGGTAAGACTTCAGATAGAGCGGGACACAACGACAATATCTACTTGTTGAATTAGATTGATGTCCAATACGTTTGAACTGGTTTGTGTTGCTGTATTGGATTTGATGATTTAATTGAGGCATACAGCTAATAAATTATCAAGCTACTTCTTGAACTGACTTAGAGCTGGCAGTGACTTCTACCGTACCAGTCTGGTGTACAAAAAGCACACTAGATATCACTGATCTGCATGACATAAGGAGCATTTTATTTAATATGTGTTTAGCACAAATAATCAGAAAACAGCGACTCATTTCGTCATCATATGCTTTCAGGCTTGGCCTTACACAACCTTCCCAGAGACCACTACTCAGTAAGTATTTCAGTATGTCTGTCTTTACTTTTAGAGATATCTGCTGGGCTTTTATCACACCTAGATTTCTTTCCATCTCGCCGCAGATAAACATAACTGCCGCGCTGGGAACGCTAAATGTGGCAGCAGAGGTGGACGGGGTGAAAATCAAAGGTGATGGCGAGATGCGCATGACTCTGTCGAGCAGCCTGCTGCCAAATCTGAATCGACAGCTGCAGTTTGTCACCTACACAAACACACTGTTCCACCCCAGCACAGCCGACACAGGTGAGGCCTCACACTAAAAACACAGTTTCTCTGGACTTTTTCATTTTCTTATCTTTTAAAAAGTTAGTGGGGACACTGGAGAAAAATACATTTCGTAACAAACAAAAAGAGCGAAATGAGAAGGTTGCACCACTTTCATGTCTGTATAGTGAATATAAAGCTGCAGCTGGTTAGCTTAGCATGAAGACGGGGAAACTCTAGATACAGTAGCTCTGTCCAAAGGTAACAAAATCTACCTGTCAGCATATCTAAAGCTTAAAAATGAACACATTATATCTTGTTTGTATAATCAAAATAATAGTGTAAAAACAATAAGTAGTGTCTTTATGGGGAGGTTTGTGTCTGAGTATGTTGTGGCTCTGAGCAGTTGCCTAACAACCAGTGGAGACTCCATGAAGTTACTGACCCCTGAAAATAAATGATTCCTTTTACATTTAAGTTTTCATATGGAATAAACAAGTTATATCGTGTTCATTTTTTTGATTTGGAGGTGCATTTTGTTACCTTTCGACAGAGCCAGGCTAGCTGTTCCCAGTGTTTTTACAAAGCTAAGCTAACCGGCTGCTGGCTGTAGCTTTTTATTGACATGAGAGTCGATTGTCACGTTCTGCCTCTCTGTTCTCACTATTGTCGTTCTCTGCCTGTTCACCCTCAGACTTTTCCAGCTGACCTTCTGCTCATTTACCTGCTCACCTTCTTCCCACATCAGTCACTCCCTATAGCCTACATTTACAGGTCCATGTCCCTTGTTGCCTTGTTGGATCGTCAATGCCTGATATGTGGTGTTTTATTGTTATTTAATTATTGTTACCTGTCTGTCTTCTTTCCTTTTAATGGCTCCACACCAGCAGTTGGTCAGCAAATAGAAATGACAATCCAGGCAGGAGGAAATATTTGCAGATGTTTTTGAAGCTGTTTCTTTGTGTTTAGCTTCAATACAGAATTAACAATGGTGCAAGGACAAAGCCTGAGGACAGACCATGACCAAAGACCAAATGTACCTCTCTGAATTATCTGTCTACCTGTTACCCTGATATGGCAGGTGTTAACTTCAGTATTAATCTTTAGTGGATTGTACAAAAATATCACATTCAGTACACGTGCAGTACTGCATGTAAAGTAGATGGCTTATTCCAAACAGCATATCAACATATGTGCATCCATCCGTCACAGCTGGACCTTATTATACTACTCAAATGCATTAAAAGTAGCTTGTGTTGTGTCTTTTAGTGCAGTTTGAGACAGAGGGGCATCAAACCAGCTTCAGTATCAAGATTCGTCACGGTGTAACACCCAAACTGTACAATACAGGATCCAAAGGAGGTAAAACACAACACCATTAATCATGCCATTATTTAACCACTGAACAGTAAGCCTAAAAAGACAATAAGCTACCTTTCCTCTGTTGTTTGATCTTCCTTCTCTGCAGAGTACAATGTCAGTGCCCTCGTTACAATAGCTACAAAGACTTTCCTGCGGTACGATAAGCTTCAAGATCTTATCGACAGCGTGAGAAGATACTACCCTACCGTTACCATAGTAATAGCTGATGACAGCGAAATCCCCCAAACCATTTCTGGGCCTTACATCGAACATTACATCATGCCTTTTGGAAAGGTAGGAGAAGTGCCAAGTTCATACTCAAGACTTTAGATTTCCCATTGATGCTCTTTGGTATTCCAGCTCTGCTTCATGCGTCGTAGGGTTGGTTTGCTGGACGAAACCTGGCCGTCTCTCAGGTGACCACAAAGTATGTGCTGTGGGTGGACGATGACTTCATTTTCACAGCCAACACCAAGCTGGAGAAACTGGTGGACGTTTTAGAGAGAACCACTCTGGATCTGGTGCGGGATAAACTGTTTCTTTTAAATGGCTAGGACAGTCTGGTGTTTTTGCTCTCAGCGACGTCAATGTGTGTGTGTGTGTGTGTCCAGGTGGGGGGTGCCGTGCGGGAGGCCACGGGTTACACTGCCACCTACAGACAGACCATCTCCATTGAGTCAGGGGAGGAGGATGGTGACTGTTTACACATGAGGAGAGGATTTCATCACGTCATCCAAGGCTTCCCCAACTGTGTTGTGACTGATGGAGTCATTAACTTCTTCCTGGCTCGCACCGACAAAGTCCAGCAGGTCGGCTTTGACCCACGCCTCGCCAGGGTAGCTCACCTGGGTGAGTACAGTGAAAGTTTAATTTTCACATCAACCATACAGTTCAGATGGGAGCAGTTAAATAACTATATACCAACATCTTTGACTATATTCAATTTGTTGCTTATTCAGTGTGTACCCACTCCATATTTACTTAGTGTTGATTACATACTCAATGTTTACTTGGCACATAAAAGAGAAGAAGAGAGATGAATAACTTGTTCCATCAAAAGTATGGTCTGCAGTATACGCTTCACTTTGTATCTGAAAAAGGCACTGATGAAAAACCATTAGACTCAGCAGCATAATCAGTGTAAAAACTGTTTTAAGTAAATTGTTTCAAAGATTCATATCTCATTTCAGTTATAAAGATAGTATCGTATCATAATTGTTGCAGAGAGATTATACTGTAAAATGTTCTTGTCAGCACATGCCAACATACCAGAATCAGTGCTCTGCTATGATTCAATTAAATGCACGCTTTAAATCAAATTTAATTAAATTTTTAATTTAGTCCCCTAATATCCAGTCTCCAACTTTTTTTTATTCTATATATATATCCTATAAATTTCATATTTGGTATCTTTGTTAACTATCCATGTGAAACCTTTATTGACTGGCCCACTGAGAGAGATGTTTAGAAGTTAATCAGGCTAGTCAACTAACATTTAGTTTGCGTTTGTTTTGCAGAGTTTTTCATCGATGGATTGGGATCTCTCCACGTGGGCTCCTGTGACGATGTCATTGTCAATCATGCAACCAAAATCAGACTTCCTTGGGTCAGCCAATCAGAGAGCGACAAGACTTACGCCAAGTTTCGTTACCCGCCGGCCTCTTCTGACGCCACACACACGAAAAACGGCCTGCTGTTCTTCAAGAACCGATTTCAGTGTTTGACTCATAATTAGTTCCCCTCCTCTTTACCCTGAGGGTTCCTCTGCTCTTCCCGAGTTGCCAAATAAGTTCTCCTCCACCACGTCCCTTCAGATAAGCCTTCAGACATACACTTTGGTTAGCCTTTTCTTTATGCGAAAAAAGTTGCTATTTTAGCAGTTTTAGCATGTTAGTTCTGTCAGTGCTAAAAAGTCCTCGCACCAAGAATATGAAAATCCAGGCTTAGAGAATCATCTGTAGTAACAAACATATCATCTTGTTGACACAGACCCAGTTAAATCACAGCATCACTGTGATTAATTCAAGACTTCCTTTTCGTTCAACCGTATCTGGCTATACATCCTCGAGTTGTTCTCACACAGATACTGGAAATTGGAAAAAACAAGTAGCATCTTTCCAGTCTGAGTCACTTCATTGTCATTCTAGGCTAATGCAAGCAGAGGTACATTTGGCCTCCTACAATATGCACTATCTCAAATCAAAGACTGAGCTTGGAGAAGCAATAGCGATGTCTGAGGACCTGAGAATGAGGACAAGAAGACACTTCTCAGAAAGTGACAATCCTGTCGACACAGAGCATACCGTAGGTATTCTATTCACCAATGCCACATGAAGAACGTGTTCAGAACTTTTCCACCTGTGGTACCTGAGCCTGAGTGGTCGTGCCAAAGGTTTGGCAGCTGGCTTTTTATTATTTATTTATTTTTTTTATCTCTTTGTGTTATTGTTTTGCTCCCCCCTTACCCAGAATCCCATATGTCCTTTGTGAGCGATTAATCACGTCTGTGGAAGAGAAACTTTCTGTCCTCACACATCTGGTGTCACCTGATCTTGGAGCAGCCTTGTTTCTTTGTCTTCTGCTATCTGTCACTCTCAACAAACATCTAAGGAAGTGGAGCGCTTCTGTCCAGTGCACGCTGATGAATGACGATGGAAGTAATTTGCATCATTACATGCTGTCTAAAACAAGAAGTTGAATGAATCAAAGTGCATGTTTATTTTTTTCTCATTATAAGACAAGAAAGGAGGAAAAAAACAGCACACTGAGACAGAATTAAAGAGAGTTTGGTGATGAATATACATCTTAAAACACAGAATGAGTAGTCAGAGCATGAGAGGAACACTGAGTGACACAAAGTCAATAATGAGACGAGGTAAGATGATGAAGATCATGATTTTATACCGACTCTTTGGAGAGTTGTATGTCAAAGACTGGCATTCATGCCTGAAGTGATGATGCTGTTCTATTTCATCCTTACTGACCGCCAGAGGCAGTGCTTAACACTGGATATCTTCTGTCTCGCGCATGCGCAGGTCGAATATTTATATCAACAAAGTCACCTGTGACCTCGGATGACCCCCGTCGTCTATAAGTTCCGGTGTCATCCTGAGTTCAGTCCTTTTTCATCTTCTCGCTACGCAGGTTAACTAACATGGTAGTAGAAAAAAATATACAGTATAATTTGTCTACGATCAAGACATATTAGAGTTTGTCGCGGTAGCCTTGTGACCACCGGTCGGAGTTGCGGATCTTCACCCTCCAAAGGCTGCGACAAGCGGTCCCTCTTAGGAGGGAACGGTGTTTTCGCCGTGCGGACCATCGAGCCCCGGACTCAGTCTGATAGGGGCCACCCAAATCGCGAAGACAGCAATTGGTGAGATCAACTAACATTGTTTGTCTATAACCATTGTTCGTTTTTTTCCTCGGTTTGCAGAGCGCTTCCGCTCAAGCTAATCGAGTGGCGTGCTAACGTGAGCGTAGAGTTACGCTGTTGGGCCGCCCTTCACAGTGAGCAGAGTGTTCCCGCTCAAGCTAACTTGGGAGATGCTAGTTAGACTAGATCGATGTTGACATTGTGCCCATTGATTCCTTACACGGCTATCACAGCTAGCAGAGCGTTCTCGCTCCGGCTAACTAGACTAAGTTAATACTCGGATTGTGTCCATTGATTGTTTGTAAACATTACGGATATCACAGTTAGCAGAGTGCCCTCGCTCAGGCTAACTGGTGGCACACCAAGAGTTACAGCAACTGTCCAAGTGAAGAGCGTGTCCTCGCTCCCCTCTCACTGACTATCCCCTGCCTGTTCTCACAAACATTCAGCAGAGCGTCCCGCTCAGACTGACATAGAGAGTCGGCCATGTTTGACTTTCCCGGCTGTAGGACCTGTATGGCTCCTCTACAGCCTGATGATGGCCATGACCTCTGCCCCTCTTGCCTTGGCCTCGAGCATCTGAGGGAAGGCCTCTCTGAGAACCCATGCATGAACTGTGGCATCATGCCTCGAGCAGTAAGGGCTGCTAGGCTCACCGAGGCGGAACACCTGACGGGTGTGGTCGACCTCCCCCTTTCAGGGCAGTTGAATCCAGCCCAACCTACCCAGGATGCTCTGGCTCACACGTGGCTGCATGCCCTGTCGGTGAGTGAATCATGTCTGAGGTGGAACTCAGATGGATCGGGGGTTACTTTGTGGCCTAATGCAGCGTTTCTCCCAAAGGTGCTGACACCCTCGCATATCAACCAGCCTATCCAGCTTGCAGAGTTTGACCCCCCATCGGGAGAGGAGAGGTCAAGGCTGCTGTGCCTAGTGCGGGCCCTCAGAGCTTATGTGGAAGCCACCGCTTGCATACGGCGGTCGGAGCAGCTCTTTATCAGTTATGGTGGGCCTAAGAAGGGCTGTGCCCTTTCAAAACAGCGCCTGTCCCACTGGATAGTGGAGGCCATTGCCCATGCATATAAGGCGAGCGACCGTCCTCTACCATCCGGAGTGAGGGGCCACTCGACCAGGCGTGTCTCCACGTCATGGGCAGCCCTGAGAGGTGTGCCTGTGGAGGATATACAGTATGTGCTGCGGCCTCATGGGCATCACCGAGCACATTCACCAGACACTACAGAGTGAACGTTGCCACCCCTCACCCACTGGGGAGGGTTCTTTGGCCAGCTTCCTCTGCCTGAGCTATACGAGGTGGGTACTTGTGATTCCTCGTGACTCTTTTGGTATAAGTCATCCAGTGTTATGCACTGCCTCTGGCGGTCAGTAAGGATGAAATAGAACGAAAGTTACGAATGTAACTACGGTTCTATGAATCCTGGATGACCGCCAGAGTTCTTGGTCACTTGGAATCCCGTGAACTCGCGAGAAGAATCCATAGGACTGAACTTAGAATGACACCGGAACTTATAGATGACGGGGGTCATCCGAGGTCACAGGTGACTTTGTTGATATAAATATTCGACCTGCACATGCGCGAGATGGAAGATATCCAGTGTTAAGCACTGCCTCTGGCGGTCATCCAGGATGCATAGAACCGTAGTTACATTCGTAACTTTCGTTTTATACCATGACTTTCAGATGGCGCCCTTGTATCACTTTCTTTTCCTAATGAGTCAAATTAGTTTTTAAAATGTATTTATTAGCAAAGAGGTGCTAGAGATTCATCAGCTGATGTTTTTTTTCTTTTTAATCTCGAGAAGAATATTTTTGAACCACTTGTGTGATGTTTCTTTCGGTTTGGGATTCTTCTTTATGTTCACCAGAATGTGACGTTAGCTCTGTGAATAAGGGTCATATTGAAACTACATCAGTGACAGTGTTATAAAAGGCTCTTGTGTAATGTATGTTCAAAAACTTGTCTCATACTAAGATTTGTAACTGTCGACAGATCTATAGCTGAGCTGAAAACCTTTTTTTCAGACAGTAATCTTTATTGTGTTAGAACAGCAATTAACTTGCCTGCTTCACCCAAAACCCACTGGTGTGATTCATCTGGTCACGGCATTATGAGCATTTTTTAATTTAGTTAAAATGTTGACATATTAAAATGTCTGTGGAAAAGCCTCTCTTTCATTTTCATTGCCCAGGGTGGGGGAAAGAAATGACAGGTTCAGTCTACATTATAGTAAAGTGTCTTTCAAGGCATCACTGTTGAGCTCCAAAAGGGTGAGACGCATTATAAAAACAAAAATGTATAGAAGCAAAGGTCATAGTTTGTATCTTAATGTTGGACTGTGACTTCTTCACAGGACTCAATTTATCTTCCACGTCTACTGTGTGAAGTTAGTACCTTGTTTTTTTTTTATTGTCAAATGCAATAGTTGGCACATGCATCATTAAGTCTTGGGTTCATATAATCTTTCACACTGGTTCACTATGTTACAGTCATTATTGTGAGACTCCAGGAATAACCATGAAGCTTCTTGATACACTTTATAATACACTTTACGGTAGCTTGTTCAAGCACGGCCATTTCAATAAATCGCTCTATAAATACAAATATTCATATAAAATCTGATATCGATCAATTAAGGAATATCAAATTGACAATGTGCTTCATCAATTCCAGCAGGGGGTGTTGTACACCAACATGTTCACTGTTAAAGTTCAATTGCAGTGCATTTTTTTAAATAGTCTAATCTCTCTAATCTAATTTTTCTTGAAATAAAACATGCTTTTAAAAATAGAAAATCTACAATATAAATTGAGGCAAAGAAAGCCATAAAGATACCCTTTATATCATAATAAGGTTTGGTGGGTGCTAACAGGGGCCTCTGGCACAGACTATGGTAAGAAAATTGACTTATAGGACCGACATTAAATTACAGAAAAAAAGATCTGCAGGCTCCAATCTCCTTACTGAAGCATCATGGAATTGTGGTTTAAGGAGAATCTACTTGTTGTAAAAGATAAAAGTGACCACAAAGAGATTCCGAATGACTACAAGATGCAAAACACAAGACGCAATGCCTACCAAGACACGCAAAGAGATAAACAACAACCACAAAGAGACACAAAAGGACTACAAAGACATGCTAAACAGCTACGAAGAACTGCAAAATGGCCACTTGGAGACCAAATATGACCACAAACAAAATAAAAAACAACTCAAAAGATGCAAAACGTTGCACAATTACAGGAAGAAGCACGACAACTAACAAGACATGCTAAATTACTACAAAGAAACACAAAACAACCGCATTCTGGGTGGTTTGCTCCCGTGAAGGAGGGCTGGGGGTCCGCTGTCTCATCCCTCCATGACTGGTAGAAATGTGCGGAAATGTTTTGTGCTGCAACATACAGTCGCTAGTATTTTAGGAAAATGATAAAGACCAGAACAGCATTCCTTTTTAATTCTTTGTGTGTATTCAAGACACCAAAAGTCAAAGAGTTTTAATGATATGATCCCACATGAGATTATTTACATTCAAGATGACAGTGACAGGTGAACACCTCTGTTTTATCTCTGTTCCCTTTTCTGCTTCATTAGGACGTGAGCTTTGTGTGAGTTTGCGAATGTGTTTTGTTCAGATAACAGTCTAACAATGACGGGGTTAAAATAGACCCACCAAAGGGAAAACACAGCTATTAGCTAACCTGCAGGGAAACGCACAGACATACAAAACTCGTGTGGATTCAGAGCCCACAGTGAAGCTAGAATCTGCAGTCACTTTTGATAACACATAGCATGAAAGGGATTTCAGATCAGAGTCCTCTGGGGGAATACAATGGAAGTGGTCCCTTGTGAAAATATTAAGCATTACAAAAATATCCATCCATGAATTTTTAATGGAAAAAGTAAGAAATATATACATATACAATATGAAGTTCAGTCTCTGTGGTGCTTCAAAAGCATATTTTCACACATTTCATCTCATCTGTCATCACCACATGTAGACGAGAATATGTTCAGAAATAAAACACACACAGTCAAACCAATATGATTACAAATATCAAATCCAGGTTAGGCTAAAGCAGGGTGGTATTTGAAGGAATTTTTGGAGGGAAATCTAGGATAAAATGTGAAGATTGGAGACACTGAGACCTTGATGACTTCTGCACAGAGGTGAAACAACCAGTGCTGACGGAGCACTCTGACTCAGTCGAGGCACTCCTGCATGAAGGTAAAGTGAGTTAATTTGCAGGTCATTACTGCTCGCTCTCCTTCAGCTGATCCAGATTGTGTGGTCGATGTGCACCCTCGTCTAATGCGGTCGCCTGGAAACTGGCAGTCACACCCTGAGAGGACAGAAGCAATTACATTTTTTCTGACATGATAGATGACAAAATAACTGTTATTCTTAAACCTAATTGGCATTGGATTTTACAGAAATAACATTGTGGGACAGTTTCATAAATATGTCATGTTTGGAAAGAGATAAGCACCATATAAAAAGATTGTAGGTATGGGAAACCTGTCTGTACTCCTGAACCTAAAGCAGGATGGAAACACAAAGACGGACAACTAGAGCGACTTTGTGGAATCAGGCCAGATAAGCACATCTAAAATGTTTCCTCCTCTTGGTGGAAGTCTGAGTGAATAAGATAAAACCGCAGGTCAGTGGGTTTTCCAAAAACTGGATGACTAAATGACACCTGTAACAGTTTAGGTCAACCTGGTTTGTAAATCTACACAGAAACAACAACAGGATATTTCACAAAGGCAACCCGAGAGTCATTTCCGCTCGTCATCAGTTACCGGGACAACAAACAGGCTGCTGAAATGGAGATAACAGCTCAATCTGACCCTCCCAATTTAAAACATGGTGTTAATGTTATTTATACTCTGCACAATAAACACTTAACGTGTGTAATGATCCTAGCATAACCTGATAAACCTCAAAGCTGCACCATTGAATCATTTGGACGGACAGAGATGGAAAGTTAAATCTTAGATTTACTGAAAACATCCACCTTTCCTCAAAATATATATATTAATATATATGAGAGAGGCTGTTTCTGGAAAAAAAGATTATGCCGATGAAAATGTATTTTTCAACCAAACATGAATATCTCTTAACTATCCTCATGGCTAGATACCAGCAGGTAATTTGTGTGAATCATCCTTTTAAACTGTGATGTTACCACATCTACTTACGAATTTGAATACACCTTTCACCGCTGCGTGAAGAAAGACTGATGTACCTGCATGCTGTGCTGGCTGGAGGGTGACAGGCCATTGGACGTCCAGCGGGCGTGTCTCCCCTCTGTGCACAAACTGAGCTGCTGTTGGGAGGGAAGTGGAGGCAGAGCTGCTTCAGGTGACACAGCACAGGGATTAGAGAGCTAGAGAGAGAGAGAAATCAAAGAAAGAGGATATCAGAGAAGGAGAAATGCTTGAATGTACACGTATGTTCTAAGAGAGTGTTGCACACTCACCACCTTCGAGGCCGGGCTGTGGTGTGGTGGATGCAGAGAGGGCAGGGAGGTGTTATAAGACAGCAGGCAGGGCTGTTGGCGTCGGCCCATGGATGCAGAGGAGTGAGGTCGCAGGCCAGATGCTGACGCAGTTGGAGACTTCACGTTCCTGCCCAGGCTGTTTGACTTGCTTTCCTTGCGTTGGTACTCTATTGGAGACTGAAGGGCTGCATGGGACAGGAAGAGATGTCACATCACTCAAACGCACCAAACTCTTGAATTTGTGGATTTATTAAAGAAGCACTGAGCTCTGTAACCATTAAGGAAGTTCCTCTGATTCTCTAAGATCTGGACCACGTCCTCGAGCCAGGCTTGCTGTATTTCCGGAGATGATGCCTGCATGATGAAGCGTGTCACACTGCTGTCAGTCCCGCGGGAGGTCAGGACCAGACAGAATGGATTATTCTCAGAGTGCTCCTCCACACCCAAACAGCTGACCTGAAGCACACAGGACCCTTGTTAAACATAAAGGATGAACACTAACACAGAGATGTTTTAAAAGATGGTATAAAATACAGTGTCACTCGCACCTTGATGCTGTTTTTAAAAGTGTACCCTGGCAAAGAGAAGCCCTTTTTCTTATCAATTGGCTCGCTGAAGATGACCAGCTGCTCAAACAGGAAGACCCTCCTCTCCTTCGCTCTGGATGGGAAGCCGCTTTCCTGCTCGCTGACAGAGAAGGTATCCTGCTGCAGCAGCTTCCCCTGAGCCGTGATTTTCCCCTGAAACAGTGTGTTCGTCACAAATATTGTCACACCCTGGATATGTCTTTCATCTGTGATGACGAACAGGAAATAATCAGTATCACCTCAAAACCTTGGAGCCTGCCCACATTCATCATATCATTACAGCGTTTTGGCACGAAACACATCACCTCCACCGCCCTCTGATGAGAGAAATTGGATGGAGGAGAATCCGTAAGTGAAAACATCATTTAGTGATATGCAGACTCGGAATAGTACTTTACACGTTCAGTTACTATTTTATTAGGTACATCCAGCTACAACTAATGCAGTCTAATATGAGAGACCAGCAACAAATCCTACTTTCATGAAGTTTGTAATGATTTCTTTTTGACTGACAGATTTACAGTTCAACATTTCAGTAACAACTGAACACTTAACCTTTACGAAGGTAGTATTTTTGCGGGACTTGTATTGTATTAGACTGCATTGGCTTTAGGTGTACCTGATAAACTGGCAGCTGACTGTATATGTATTTGTACCTGCAGCTCCTCAACATCCCTTCCTGCTTTGTGGTAGTACTTCAGGAAGTCCTGGAAGTCAGAAAGAGGTTTATTTAAAGTTTTATGATTTCAAAACGAAAGTTAAAAAAATACCATTACAATAAAAAAACAAAGGAGGGAATGACACTTGGATCTGACTGTGATCCAAAGACACTTTATTACAGGGGCTACATGATGAATAATCATAATTATTATTCGCAGTTTGTCTTTAATCTTTAATCTTGTGAAACAGTGCCATGCATGCAGATACACAGTCATGTTAAACTGCAAACCTTCAGCAGTAGTTGATACTTCATGATCCTCTGAACAGGTTTGATGAGCAGATCATTGAGCTGCAACCTGTGACCCAACAGCTGCCTGAGATACTGACAGGTGACATAGAAAGAGAGAAAATGCTCTGAGTAACTAGGGAAAAGTTTTTAAAGAGCTCCAGTAAAATTGACTGTAGTATAAAAGTTGACTCACCTCAAAGTAGGTCTCAATGAATTCAGAGACAATGTATTCTGATTTGGGTTTGTTCTGACAATAAACCACATACATGTGAAGACGCCGTTCCTGGAAATTTAAGAATTTAAGAGAGTGAGAGAGAGAGAGAGAGAGAGAGAGAGAGAGAGAGAGAGGTAATGTGACAAATATTCCAAATAATCTGAGTGTGAGGTGCAGCGTGACGAAGGACAGAGGAAGAATTAAGCCTCTGAACTGCTCTGACTCTTAGTTTCCTTTCAGTTTTGTATTGTTCCCGTTCCCCTCAAGAGTTTTTCGGGAAGTTTTGTTAAAACAGTGCACGACATTTGCCTCATTAAATAGTTCCAGTGGCTGAGAAAGAACGGTTTGAATTGCTGTGGCTTAATTCGGCGTGCTGCACTGAGTGAAGCAGATAGGGGAGCTGAGCTGGAAAAGCTGCGCCAAAGCATAAAAGTTTTACCAATTTTTTTACGAGATTATACGTATACTCATATATCCAGTGTCAATAAATGTTTTTTTTAACATCACTGAATCCATGTGATCAGTGTCTTTCAATCCAGAAGTTAATCTGTGTTTATGCCCAGCAATACAGCCTGGGCCTCAAGCAGCGTGGTGTTGGTGTTTGCTCCCAGCAGGGACCGGCAGAGCAGCGAGGCAAAGCTCTGCTCCTGACCGGAGGAGGAGCCGCTGCTGAAGGGTGCGCAGCTCTCCGCCTCCCGCGGGAGCTCCGACTGCAGGTCGAAGGCAGCACCAAAGCTGGATCTGGGTCTGTGAATCATTTTGTCTGATGTCGTGGTGAATCTGACCCGATGACAAGGATTAAGAATAACTATATAGAACGAGAGCCAATCGTTTCACTTGTGGTCTTGTTTTCTGAAGTAGGTCATAGAAGCATCAGTATTAAATTAAGATTGTTTCATAACCAGTTAAAGATTCCTTATAGTAACTTTCTCAAAGTTCAGTGTTAAACAACCACATATGAAAAACTTCAAGGTGTGCAGTTTATGGAGCTCTGGAATCTGTAATTCCAGCTCATTTTCATACACGGCGCGGTCTCTGCAGAGCTGATGGTAACAAGACCGTTCACTCTGCAGCAGCACCTGCAGACGAACTGATCTGCAACATGAAGACACATCTGGATGGCGGGGGGCCAAGGCTTCACACACAGTCACAGCTCTGATCTGTGCGACCTTCAGCCAAACTGAAAACACGCAGAGTGAGGAAAAGAGAAACTTGTCATCCACATTTGTAACTCACTGATCTGTAGACTCACATGTTTGATGAAGAGCTGGGCCAGGCTGTCTGGATCAGTCACACATTTTTCCAACTCTCCCAGGAAATATCTGTGTGACAGGAAACAGAGAAGGTCAGAATGGAACAGTCATCCAGTCAAACACACACACACACACACACACACACACACACACACACACACACACA